ACGTTCAAGATCAAGATCAAGTTCCTCCTTTTAAAAGCTGAGTTTCCAATGGCAGTTGATGACTAAGTTCTTCAAATTGATATGTTCTTTCAGACATTTACTTAAAAACCTCATCAGTAATACGACTTCCCTCTTGAAAAGGTGATGTGAATGGGGGTTTCATTTATTGAAATCTTCCTGTCTTGAGACATCCCGATAGCACTTCGTTGAACTGGAGCCAAACGTTTAGAGTGAGCTGATAAAGACATCACACATCCGGGTGTACTAGTAAGCGCCAACCCAATTTTACCAATACAAAAGAGATTGCTGGCAATACTGTCTTCGGAGTTATAGAGCTACGAGCTTGGTATAGCCCACAATTGCCTCTTTGCCGGTGACTTTATCTCACCAGCAGTTGACCAAAGTCCACTCAAAGGTTAACCAATAACTTCTCTTTGTTTAAAATTGGGATAAAGATAGGTCATGAAACACGTTGGGGGGGGGGGGGACGATAGAGACAGAACGCGACCTAATTTGTTCCTAATTGCTATCTTATTCAAACAAGAATGCTTGAACTGATTTAATGTAGTAATTTGGGCAAATACAAAATGAGCTTTGATTCTAGAATTTTAGGTACATTTATTTCTCTGAATCTGGGGTGTGCGATAGACTTACCTCCACGTGGTGCACCCTGGGCAACGTATACTCATACGGCAAAAAAGTCTATTAACCGGCAGTTGACTTCAGACTCCAAACTACCATCACTCCACTGTATGTCAAATTCGACTACTTCAACCGTACTCACCTCACCTTTTTTCAAACTTTGTGTCTGTCTCTTTTACATCTTTGAAACACTCTTCTGTCCCTCCCCCCCATCTCAACCTTTTTTACTTAGATGTTCCTTCCATCTGTGAAGCCTGAAGTCAACTAACGGGCTAATGATAACCATCAAAACGCCCGCCATTTGATATAAATAAATTTCTCTGAATCATGCACTAGCTCCTAATCTCTGAAAGTTGAATCGTCAGCACTCTCGGAGCTAACGTTAGCAATTTCATTAGGCAAAAGTAGCTCTTTGGATATTTCTTCATTGTGCAAGAGTATCTTTGATGTTCATTTCTACAACAGATTCTACTCCAAATGCTCATTTTCAGAATGTTTCTCTGTAAGACAGGAATAATTAGGACTCCAGTTTCCAGTTTATCTTCTAAAATTCTGACCTATTGAGGCCAATAATAAGCCGTTGCTTGGGTTGTTTTTGGGAAATGAATCTACTACTGGAAAAATCAGTTAGTGATCTAAGTAAATAGTCGTAGTAATCGTTAAATCCCAACTTACTCTTGAATTCGAGTAAAGAAAAATGAAATTCAATAAACCCATCTCCTCGCCCTCAGAACTTGTAGCGAATTGGCCTTGGCTTTTCTTCACTAATTTCAGTGGCAGAATATGCAGGCTTATATCGAGCATACCGTTTATTGCAATTACGCTCACAGAAAATGTGGTTAGTGATTGAATACACGTAGCACAACTTGCAAGAAAATGAATACCCCTTTATCAGGGAAGTCCTCTCCACGAACGGCCTCACCCTCCAGAATGTTCAAATGCGCATGAAATTGCTTAATCTTGCTTGCTTTTAGTATTGTTTGTTCGAAACATTCCTAGTTAATACTGCGTTAGCTCTTATCAGCAGCTGGCGTATTAATAATTCTAATAAAGCTTTTTCCTGAATTTGTTGACCATAACTCTAAAATTTTAAACCGGCAATGGAGGTAGCTGAAAATAAATAAACAAATAAATATTTATATTTTAGGAAACAGGGACGAATATAGAAATCAGAATGTTGGAAAATATAAAATGATAGCTGGACCATATCTGATAAGTGTAAAGCATAAACTTGAACTCAAAAATCAAACTTTGTCGGGCCACTTTAGTGCTCTGACTCCAATTTCCATCTTTAGATATTCCTACTTCATCTGCACCGATCTAGTACTTTTCATAATTAAAAATCGTAGCATACTTTTACCTTACCATTGTTACTAGTAAGGAATATGCTCCACTTCATAATATTTTAGGGCTCCTATGTTCAAACTCCAACTTTTAACCTCTCACTCCCCCCCCCCCCCCCCCCCCCTCCCCCCTCAAAGAACCGAAGGCAATGGCTGCGAAGCTCAGAGCCTAGTTGCCAGTTAATTTTATCAGGTGGATGTTTTAAACAAAAAAATAGAACTTGAATTCAGTCAAAGTGAACTCTAATGCCATTTACGATTTAGGAATATTCTTTTTACCCTATCAAACTTGTTGGCCTATTCTAGTCACTAATTGCCGGTCAACAAGCTCAATTTCAATCCACTTCAACTCAAACATCAATTCCCTTCATCTTCTTGTACTATTTCGTTCAAATAACACTGATCTGGGAAATAGGTAAACTTAAGCTTATTGAATGTTGGCCTAAGCCGGTTTTCGTTTTGACCTAAAGGTTATGTAGCTAGGAAAATAACTATTTATGTATATTCGAATATATCTCAAGAATCTACTCCATTTAGTTAATAGGACAATGGCGTTACTCACTATCCTTTCTTCTTAATATATGTTGTGGCGACGCAAATTCAATTTCAAATTTGCCAATGCCCTAATGAAATAACCGAACTGAGATAGAATCTATTAATTATCGCACTTCAGATGATTGGGAGATGTGATATAAGGCGTGAGGAGTCCGTTAAGGACTACGACTATTCCTCAAATATGCATCCAATGTACCCTCGCGTGGCCTACATGTGATGAATCATCGTGTGAGTATATACTAGCGGGAAGTGACTGAAACCCACATGAGCAACTTTAATTAAATTGCTATCACAAAAATTTCCAAAAATTTAACACGACTCAATGGCTTGATTATTGCATAGTGCCTTTTCAGGCTAAAAATTTAAATACTCAACAATGAGTGAGTTTAGGTGAGCTCCTCTTCATAGAATACCGTAGATAGTATGTGCCAACTGCTTTCGTTTGTAAGAAGGTTTAAATAAATCCAAATGACGTGGCCATCCACGGAAATGAATCACTTTGACAACACGCTCATAATACCAGGAACTTAAACAGTAAAGTATATTCAACAGTGAACCATATTCATTGTGAGAACAAAGAAATCCAAAATTCCAAAAACCTGACTCAAAGGCTTTCCAAGTTCTAATTTTGCTTTTTTATTGTCATTTAAAACAAGCTAAACAAACAATTTATTGTTTTATTCTTCCAATGTAGGGAAATAAATCGTGGAAGTCATAATTTTAAAACGTTAATTTTGATTTGCGAGGATCAGTATTTTCTCACCGTATGGGAAACATTTTTCTGAATTTATGTTTGGAATATTTTCATTTTGACTCTTCTTGAAGGAAATAAAATAATTAAAAAATCAGAGAACGTATGGAAAAGATAAAATACTCATCAGAATGGGTTTCCGGAACACCGTGGTAAACAACATAAATGTCAACATAAAATACATGTGTCCTTTTTTTAATAATCAAACGAATTACAACATTATGCACCCTTCAAATAAACGTAAAACATAAGATCAAATTAATTTTTTGGTCAAAAACATTAGATGGTAAGTAACTAGTAAGAAGCTGATGCTTGCCCTACTATTATGATATTAAGTTCTTTCTCTAAGTTACTTCTGGAGTGGATGAATCTCAGATAATTCCAAACAGGATTGAAAGCCAAACGAAAAGTCAAAATTTGCACATAATTGACAACGATAAACAACATTGCGAGCAATGTAATTAGCATATTTCCCACATGAAAAATGTATTTCGCTATAAAGTTAAATAATCTTGAGTCAAGGAATTATGCTGCGGTCCAACAGGGATTAAGGGAGAAGGCTGAAAAGAAGTTTAGAATGAAGTTTTATCGTCAAGAATATAGTTAATTCAATTACTTGGATATTTAGTCCCTTTCTGAGACACTTTTCTTCAAATAGCCAATATTTATTTATTTCAAATGGCAGGCGTTTTGATAGCTATCATTACCCATTTAGCTGACTTCGGGCTTCACAGAGTTAAGGTTCATAAAAGTAGAAGAAAGCCGAGGGGTGGGGAACAGAAGAGCGATTCAGAGATGTAAACAATAAGCTGAATTTAAAGTGATTTTACAATTCGAGACAACATACTCCTAATTTTCTGACCTTAAAATCAGTCACAAAGATGGGAATTCCTATGAAGAAACTGTTGATAGTACTTAGCTATATTGTTATCAACTTAGCACATGACGCTTATTTTCTTAAGTGAAATGTTACAATGTAGTAATATTACAATAGTTTACAATGAAAGTAGGTTAAAAATCCATGAACATAAGTGTCACGTGGAAATGTCCACCTTAAACTATATAATTTCGTAACAAAAAATGAAATTTAGCTTATTTCACAACTTTGACGACCAAATATTTTGCTTATCATACGAAATGGGTGCCTTGTTAAGCCCTATTATTGTCACAAATCGCTATCTATTGGATAAAAGAATTATGAATTTTCATATGTCACTGTACAATTTACGGATATTTTAAATTATTAAAAGAGAATGTAGCAGTTTAAATCTATTATCGATTTTCATCAACATAAAGTGCTATTGAGTGTTAAGGACTACCGTCAAAATTACTTACTCAGAAGTTGCTTCCATAAAGCATGAAAATAAACAATTTTAGAAGTTCAATAATGAAATTGCTTATTGAAATTTTGAACGAGAATTCATTCTAACATAATCTGAGGTTAATAACATATGAATGTTCCACATATCGCTAAATAACTTATCTCAATTAATGTAAAATAACCAAATGCTTTGTTTTTGCATATATTATTTCTATATATGAGACTTTCATTTCCAACTTTTAAAATATCCTTGGACTTGTTTAACTAGTTCTAAACTCTAGTACCAAATTGATCAAAAACGAAATCCGTTTAACCAGTATGTATTTACGAAATACTTTTAACTTATTGAAGTCATTTTCAATAGTAATTACCTATTTCACTTTAGATAATGCCTGCAGATTTGAATTTTGGCAAGAGGTCAAAAGTGAAATCTTGGAAAAATAATCTCGCAAATCAGAAGTCAGACAAATCTGAGATCTTATTCACAAAGTTAGAAAATATAACAAACTCATCTTTCAGTAACCAAAAGGATCTACCTGAAGATGAATTAGTTGATTCGCAAGATCCGTATCAGTGCCAATACAATAAACCCGCGTGCTCTAAAGCATGTGAGCAAGCAAGTAAATATTTCTTTGTTATTGATTGTCATAGAAAAGCTAAAATATCCAGACACATGTGCAAAGCTTATAGATCGCCTACATGCCTTATTACGTGCATCGGCTAGGGTAAATAGGACAATATTATACTTCTATCGCATTATAATTTAGGAATTGCATACAATACGGATCGAGAATTCGGAACTGAGACAATTATTGACAACTCTTAAGAAGGCCAATGCTCTGCTTCAGGAACAGGCAATTATACCTTAAAAGTTAAAAATAATTTAGCTGAATCTAACAATTTTTTCATGTCTACCAATTAAATTGTAGATGTCGAAGGGCGGATTCAGATCACCTAATACAAACCTCGATTATGTGACCTTACAGAACGTTCGTTAATAAAGGATCTTTATATCAAATTTTATCTAGGAAAATGAAAGACTTTCTAGTGAATTAGAAATCTCCAGAGGAAAATTGAATACCATGTCAACAGCTTGGGATGATTGCTATAAAAGGTTTGTGACTATTTGTAAATTTAAATTGGTTCAATTACATCTAGGCTTTTATCTGAAAACAATAAACTTCGAAAAACTATTGATGATCTTCAAGAAACCATAAAAATACTTCAACAAAAGGGTAAATATTGTTATATTAAACAACTAATTGACACTATTTTACTGAATAAATCCATTGTTTCATGTTCGATTTTTCATACATTTAGGTTTACATAGTTTACGGTCTGTGAGAGAATACTTTCGTAGTGTGAAGATTCACTTTAGTCTAACTTGTAATAATTTAATTTTTACATAGTGCTTCTGTTTGATATTTTTTGAAGTTCTTAAATCATTTGAAGTGACAAAATGAATAAATTATATAAATACATGTTTTTGTCACATGTCGAACTCAGCATGCACAAACGTCTATTAGCAATGGTTAGCCATCCAAACGGTTCATACGTGCTCTTTGTTTCTGAGGGTCAGATTTATTCACCAGCAATACGAAATCTTGTAGTCATTGATTTCTTATCACGCCCTATAACTAAACACGACTTTTCAAGGTACTCTAACCTGACTGATTGTCTTTGACGTCTTGAAAAATATCGTTTTGGGGTGAGTTACGTTAGTAGAATTCGATCCAGTTTTTGTGGAACTTTCAAAATAATTCAATTTTAAGGGAGGGGAGGGGGGTCGAAACTCCACTGATGAATTAGTATCACAAAGTGATTGAAAATGCAGGGAGCATCACGACAGCACAGAAAGATAATCGAGCTCTATTAGATTAAATTTATTCAATATAGGTAAAAACACAGCATGAAATGACGAATAATTGCCCTAATTGACAGTAGTTCAGTGCTAAATTTGTGCATTCAAATACTTTAAATCACGCATTTCATAAAATTGTCTCATTTCAATACATCAAAAAGTCTTCATTTCCATAGTGGGAGTAGTAGTTAATTTGTTTAAAATTATTCGCTTTTGTAATCTATTCATTTTACCAGTTAAATTTTTTAAGGGGAAGGAAGGAGTGATTGGGAGAATAAAGTTATGTTTGGTTATTATTTATATTCTAGCATTTGTTTAGGCTATCCAACAACTTCTCTTAAAACGGAATATGCAACTCCTTCACTTGTATTAAGATAGCTTAGCCCCCGTTCTTAATGCCAACTTATTATTTGGAGTGAGAATTTTAAAGCCTTCATTTTAAGATCTACTATGAGAAGAGCAAGTGAGAGATATCTCCATTCACTCGCAATCTCCTTTAATACTTCCCGAATTTAGTCTAGAAGAGCTTTATAATTTCTTGCACCCGTATAAAAGTTTCCTCAGGGTAGAAGAACGCTCTTTAATAATTGGATGGTAGTACCTATATTATCGTAAGGCTTACAATTTTTAAGATGATATATCAAATCTTTTATTACTTTCGTTAGAAAAATCAGATTGCCCAAAATGTGACAATGCTGAATCTCTGGAAGCAGCATCAACATCTTATTCGGGAGGATTGGACTGTGGTTGCCAACATGTTGAACAAGTCCGCTGTCTCAAGAAAAAACTCAAGGAATTGAGACTAAGAGTATGTCTATGGCTGTGATGATGCAGAGGAAAAGTGAAATTCCACCATCTCACTCATGCAAAATATCTTAGTCTACATACCAAGAACAGATGATATTATTTCAGCCATTGCTTTTCACTGAGAAATGGTTTAGAGCAGTTATGAAAAAAGAAACGTAATTATATATTAATGTAGAAGTACTAATACCACTCAATTATTCAAAATCTATACAATTCAAGATTTTGGTTGGCCTTCAACTCATTCATAACTGTGATTATCAACCAGTTCCAACCGATTTGGGGCCCTAAAACGTCTCCTGGGTGGCAAAAAATAAACTCAACCTCGATTGAAATTTTCATTTTCATCTCAAAATTGTGCTATCTTTGTTGCACACTCTCCTTCTTTTTATTACACAATAATTTCTTTCATTTAATTGGACTAGTGAAATTTAATTAGTCGATAAGTATTTCATGAATAGTCAGATACTAATATAAACCTTCCGAAAGGACAATTCCTAATTTCACATAGGACTCTCTGAATTGCATGTACCAATTCATTAAACGTTCATTTACGGTCATTTAAAATGCACATGCGCAAATAAACAAATTATGGGACATGTTTTCCCTCCTTAAAGGAAGCCAATCAGCATAATCGGGCCAATGACCTCGAGATTTCTCTCGACGCTTATAAAATCGCTCTCGAAAAACAATTTTCGGAAAATCAGACCTTCATAAAGAAACTTTCCAAAGTGCTTGAAACTACCTTGCCAACTAATTCTGAAATATCTGGTAAGCATTATGTAAAATATCATAAATCATACTTTATGTAAACATATGAAACTAAGTTAAAAATATTTGTGATATCACTTTGTTATGAACTTTAAAAGAACACCCAGTTACCCCCAGCCCAAAGTAGCACTTCTAAAATTCACGTGATTTTGAAGGACCTGGGTCAACCTTACTAATACAACTTATAAATCAGTAAATAATTACAACGGCGGCAAAGCAAAATTAACAAATATTTATTTAAAACAAATGGCAAGCGTTTTGATAGTTATCATTAGCCCTTTTGGGCTTCACAGAGGGGAGGAGGAACATCAAAATGAGAAGATGGCTTCACAGAGGGGAGGAGGAACATCAAAGTGAGAAGAATTCAGGAGCGGGAATAGAAGGGTGTTTCAAAGATGTAAAAGAAACAGACACAAAGGCTCAGAAAGGGTAAGGTGAGTAGTGGTTGGGGTCGAATATGGCATACAGTGGGGGTGATGGTCGTTTGAAGTGAGAAGTCAACTGCCGATTAATAGACTTTTTGGCGTATGAGTATACGTTGCCCAGGGTGTACCACGTGGCCCAGGGTACAGCACGTGGACGTAAGTCTATCGCACACCCCAAATTAACAAATATTAGACCTGATTAATCGTCGAAAGTGAGTAGTTGAGTGGAGGAGATAGAAGAACAATGTCCTACTTAGTCTGAATTCGAATTTCTACATGCTGCACTTGTGCATGCGTTTTTTAGGAACATGGTCCTCAGCATTCAAATCTGAATGATTGCTGGATTGAACACATGAGATTGGTCTCGATATATGTTCTTTGTTAAAAAATACTACATTTCACATACCACTTTAGATGTTTTACACTGTTCTATTAGTCTGAATTTCCATCAATCAAGCATTAATTTCAGTTATTTAATTCTGCTTTTATTGAAAAGTATGATTAATTCTGGTACTTTACATGAAAGGCAAGCGATAAACAGCAGAAATATTCAAGACCTGCACAGTAGGCTGTTTTTACTAGTTATCAGACCAGAACAGTTAAAAAACAAATAATTATCAAATGAATTTTCACGGGGAATATCTATTTTGAGCATCTTAGATGTGTTCCCTAGTTGCCCTTGGCTACTAGGAGGGACACGTAATATTTAGTAATTGAACAAATTGATCAGAAATTTATGAGCCAAAAGCGCAAATTATTCCCATAATTTGGAAATGGAGAAACTGTGGTGCAAATGAAATAAAACTCTCGAAGTCTTGAGTTCCATCTCTTTTCGTACTCAAGATCTCTTTCTCATCCCCAAACGCATAATAATAATAGACAATAATAGACTTCACCTGTGACTGCTTCTCGAAGTTTTAGCAATTCGTAATGAGTTATTCCGTGTGCATGCCAAAAATGGCATAGAAGACGATTCAGAAGAATCGTTCCTAACTTTTCTTAGGGGATGAAAAGACTGTTTGATTAGGAGATAAACATTATTTTTCACAGTAACGTCGTCTTCCCCACTAACGATTTTGGTCTAAGAAGGACGAAGTCGATACTACCAGACGCACAGTGTAGTGTCCTTTATGATCAACTCATTGGATAACACGGCTTCTTTATTACATCTTACGGACTAGGATCTAGTGTAAAATTCAATACTACATTGTATTGTACAGGTATAAGGAAAATGTAAGTCATATTAGCAGTGCAAAATTTAGTTATCTAGAGGAATGTAAATTACACAACGGAGTAATCTGTGATAAGAACACTCTCATCAAGGAAGGTGTTTATCCGTGCTCACAGTGATTGGGGGAGGAGAAATAAAAACTGCGCTACCTCCTACCTCAATGCGCCAAAGTGAGACGAATCTGTGAACTCAGTCCTCGCATATCATCAAATTCGCCGATGCGTGTTCAGCGCACAGAATGTAATCCTGGAAAATTGATAATTTCTTAATTAAATTAGACTCCGACTGAGATAATGAAGAAGTGAGCTTTCACAGCAAATGTTGATGCAAATATTGCGCCATGTGAAGGAGAGAAATGATTATTAACTAGCAAATAACTTACGAGAAAGAATAGAACGTATTATTATCTATCATAGAATCTTCTTTTTGTCGATCAGAGTATGCGAATAAGTCTTTGTTGTTTTCAAATTGTCTGTTAAAACTCACGTGTATCTCACTTGTAACTTTGCGTGCGTTGGTAGCTGAATTCCATTTTTTTGTCAATAAAAGTTCGTTATATTCGCTTCATAAGCAATCTAATTAAAGATACGCTCCACTTTTGTCGGAGCATTAGTGCTTATTTAGTAAATTTAGAATCGAATATAAAGCCTCTGCCATGTTATTAATGTGTATTTATTTAGGCATCATTCTTAACACATTCATATTTCAATAATCGCTCAACTGTTTCTGGCTTGCTTAAATACAGGGACTTTCAATTTCTTTGTGAGCTGTGAACAACTTCGTGAGAAGTGCATGTGTGCCAATATGCATTCAATTTTAGTATTATCACCATTAAATACCTCTTTACTAAAATTGCAATAGTTTAGAGTTGTATTTAACTGACTTTCATAACATTAAAATTAGCAATCATTTAGGTCAATAGGAGCTGTTTCAAAACTAACATTTTAATAGATGAGATTTACCACATGTGTATTGTAATTAACCAAGTAAGAAGCCTCACTATGCTCCACGAAGTACAAAAAATTACAATATCTAATTATTTTTATTGGTTTTATTAAAAATTAGATAAACCAAAGGCGATATGTGACATACCCGCTTGTGATGACTTGACTCAATGGATAGAAAAGGCACTAAAATCTGCACTGGAAGAGAATGTGGAAAGAGTGCGAAAATTAAGCGGTGGTTCTCGTATGAGCCTCGACCTTGAATCCACATCTTCTCCACCTCTGGCACCTCCGCCATTCGTAACAAGGAGATACTCCTACACAAACTCACATCAGTATACAAAACATCCTGTTAATGGTCGCGTGAGTACCTCTCTGTTGTAGCTCATTTAAACAATAAAATTAGTTAAGTAAATTACAAGCCTATTTTGTTTTAAAGAGCAAAAGTAGAAAGATAAACCTGAGACTTCAAACACTGACAAAAACCATGGAGACTTTAAATAACCCATGTCCTAATAAAACAAGAATCGTCTCACCTTTGGAAACTCTCCTTTTGATGGTAAGTGAAAATAGTTTTTTTTGTTTCTCTATATCTCCTTTATTTTCAGGTAAACGAAATTCTTGAAAAGTTGACCGAGGGCAGAATGGAGGAATATATTCACAATAAACGCCGGAAATCGTTGCAGGATAGAAATAGCCGCCCAATTCAGATTGTAATGACTACCACAACCGCATAGGGACAAGCGCGTTGTTTCTAACGCTCAGATCTCTTTTGTCTCTTGAATACTGAACTATCTATTAGTACTCGTGTATTGTTTGCAGTTGAAATAATTCATTAGATTGTACATTTTACTTGTTTTGACGTATTAAGTTCCGTCTGACCGCTTTAAAGTTAAAGCATCACATGTCAAAGGATTTTTTTGCATTTTGATTAGGGGGAGGGGAGGGGAGGGGGGGGGGCGGAGGGGGGGAGAACTGATGCAAGCACGAACGCACCATCCATGAGAAGCGTAATAGAAACCAGTCTTAATTACAGTAAAACAGTGATAATTAAAGTTAATATTTAATGGGACTAAGTCTATGTAGACCAGTTGATATGCAATGGGATTAAGTGCATAAGTATAAGTGGGTTCAGTATAGAAATAAGTAGAGTAGTTAAGTCCGATCAAACATGACCAGCATAAACCTAGCTTCCATGTTCGGCCTCTTCATTGATCCATGTGTATGCCACGTGCGTGCTGTGTGTATACTTTGTACTAGGTGCCTTCCTTAGAACTTGTGGTGATTACTACTCTGATGTGACCTCAGACTCCTCAATACTGAACCGCCAAGCGTCTCACGATGTTTATTTATATTTGAAAATCAAAGCACACTTATGTGAACCTCTTTGCCCCCCCCCCCCCCAACAACCTACAATACTTGCAGATATCATTCCAATCCGATTTGGCCTTTTTTATCACTTCAATAAATGATTTAGATCAATTATTTTATTTGCCGTAGAAGCCTTCTGTCACAAAATTCGATATTTCAATGATGGCTTGTTCAAATTTGAAGAAATTAGACAACTGTCTGCTAATCTCTTGGAAAATTTCCCCTTGGCTCAGAATACGTAGAGTTGGATCAAGCTCTACATTGAATGCTATTGGGTGGAAAAGCACAATGGCTATAGGTTTGTACTCATATACTCGTTTTCGTAAACAGTCGTTTCGTAACCCACTTCTATGTGTAGTGTGGTCGTTCAACACGATCAATACTATCTATTGAGCTGCCCAGTAAAAACTAAGACATGTGAAATGCTTACTAGTAATACAATTTTAAAGGGGACGTTATTAAGTCAAAGTTTCAAAATAACTGTCAAATTTGCAACATGTGTATAAGTTGGGGCAAATTTAATTATTGGTAGTCATATGTAGATGAAAACGGAGCCTCACATTGGGCACCTAAAATAAGTTGAAGAAAGTTGCAATTACTCAAATCGAATAAAGATAATAAAAATACGGGCTGAACTGATGGCAGAAAGACGCAGACTGATAATTGTTGACCTGACATGAAGCCAAAATTGTCATTGATTACATGAAAATGCACAATTTAAAAAGCTAACTTAGGGTACCAAACTGGGCGCTTTTGTGAAATAAAATGAAAATACCAATAAATCTAAGTGTAATATGAAAAAGTCCTGTGGGGTGGGGTGGAGGGGCTGATGAATGAAAGTTGCAGTGGACGCTGTATAAATAAGCTCTTGGCCAAGCCTTGACAATCATTTTGGAAGGCCACTTGACTGCAGACAAGGGCAACTAGCCCCAAGTAGAGTCTTCTAGTATAAATTATCTCAGACTGAGCTGGAATACGTCCAAAATAAGTGTTGCAGAGAGGTCTTTTACTACAAAAAATGCTTAGTATATAATATATAATTTTCATTACTCTGCATGAGTACTGGGCACTGATTTTCTGGGTGGTCTTGGACGTGCAATACGCGACCGGTATCCCGCTGCACTTTTCAGAATGCTTTGGAGCACATTAGGTTTCTATTGTCAGTCTTGGAAGTGTCGTACATCCCCACAAATCGCAATTTCAATAATCGGGTTCGTATGATAATGCTAGTAAAAAGCTCTACGTGCGACCTCTCCTAATCAAATGGTGTTGGGTAAAACTAAACACGAAAGTAGGTCGAGTTATTATCGCCACTAGTTATGTGTATCGGGGTGTGCGATAGACTTACCTCCACGTGGTGCACCCTGGGCAACGTATATTTATACGGCAAAAAGTCTATTGACTGACAGGTGACTTCTCACTTCAAACTACCATCACCTCACTCTATGTCATATTCGACTATTTTTACAGTACTCACCTCACCTTTGTTCTACCTTTGTGCTTGTCTCTTACATCTTTGAAACACTCTTCTGTCCCCCCCTCCTTTCGATTTTTTTCAATTTGATGTTCCTTCCTCTCTGTGAAGCCTGAAGTCAACTAAAGGGCTAATGATAACCATCAAGACGCCTGCCATTTGATATAAATAAATAAATAAGTTATGTGTATCCAAAAGTTCTAGCTTTTAAAGTAGACCAGATACTCCTCCAGGATATAAAACAATTAAAATCAAAATACTTAATTAAATG